GTGCTTGCACAGCCTGTCAAAAAGTGGTGTCAGATGAGGAAAATAGACTAAAATAGTGCAGATCTGGGATCAGGTGATGAGTGCACAGCCACAACCAAAATAGGTAAGGAATATACACTAATTTAAACTGAAAAATCCTGCATGAGTTGTGTGCTTGAACCAAACACACTAAATTAGATCAGATCTGGGAAAATCCACTAGTTTAGCCTGCATAAGCCTGCATTCATCTGTACATGTACATGTGCTTGAGTTTATGGGGTGATTGGTTGTATTTTTTGTGTGTTATTGATTATTTAGTATGTGTGATTTGTACTGTTGGTGGCCAAAGGGTGTGTAACTTCTGATCCAAGGGGTTTGAGATGTTGCTGTCCAAGGTGACCAGGGGTTAAAGTGAGTTGTGGAGTCCCCTTCTTCCATCAGAATTTGTGATTTCTGTCCTTTAGTATGAGAAATAGGGAAAAAAAGAGAAAAAGAATAAAAGATTTTTATTTTTTTATTTTTAACATTTAAGAATACCACACTGTAACATTACAGGAGATATTTGATTCCAAAAACTCAACACCAAGTAATATAATGTGCATCAGCATGCACAACTCAACGATACCTCTGTTGTAAACTTTTTGAAAAATGATTCATATGATTTAATTCCCTCACCTTATCACCACCTGATGGCCACTGAATCCATATTTGGATGCAAGGACAAAACAAAAATGTCGTCATCTAGTGTTTTTGATGATGCATATAGACTGTAGAGCTGAAAACAGGATCTTTCCTGCTCTTTTGAGATAATTCCACAGTCTCTTCTCAACTAATTGGGATTCAATGAGATATAGAGGTTCAATTGAGGGATGTGAGAAAATTGTGCTGGTGGTTACAAAAATGTATGTGTGTACATTAGCATGAAACAAGCTGGTACCAAGTGAAATGAAAATTTTCATTCCATGTTTTGAGTGAGATTTGTGTGAAAGGTTTGAAGACAGGCAAGGATGACCAAAAAAGCTTTTGGGTAGACACCCATTAGCACCCAGAAGCATGAAAAAAATGATTCAAGGATTCTGACTGATGAAAGAAAGGTGGGGGACCAAAGAAAATAATGGATTCTCTTTACCAGGTTGCATGATGGAAGACAGGGGTTGTTGAAAGCAACAAAAGTGAGGCTAAATTATGTTGAGAACATGGTTTATGACCCCACCACAAATTTTCCACTAGGAATATAGTAAGCCTTCATGGATTGGATCTCAATGAAATAAAACAGAAATTCTTTATGAGGTATCTGGAGAACCAAAACACAAGGATTGAAACAAGAAGGACTTTGAAAGTGGAAAAAAGGGTGTTTTAACACAGGGTAAAATTCCTAATGGTTCAGAAATGCAAAAAATAGCTCCCAATTTTCTCATTATTATTGTGAGCACACTTGATGCCAGGAAAGGTATTCCTCTAGCTACAAGTGCCACAAAAATTCCGTAAAAATGATTGGAATATATATTTTTGAGTTTTGGAATGTTTTAATAATTTTTATAAGGGTTTTTGGGGTTTTTGGGTGTGATTAGAAATGGCCAAAAAAGGCAAAAAGTAGGAAAAACAGAGGGGCC